GAGAACTGTTATTCTCCAGCTTAACGATTAAGTCAGTTTTTTGGCTGAATGATTAAATCGTGCTTTCAATTAAGTCGTAAGTAAACATGACTTAATGATTGAACGATTAAGTCACTGTTCTCATTAGTCCATTAAGTCGAAAGTAAATCGTCCCTAACTTAGGCTTCCAGAACTTCAATTGGCCGCTATGTGATTGCAGTGGCGAAACTATTATTTATATTTTGGATGTTCAAAATTACAATACTAATAAATAAACTAATAACGTATTATTCTAATTCATGCACATTTATTCCCATTGGTTTTATATTTTTGGGTGTTCAGATGAACACCCTTAAATAGAAGAAATCCACCATTGTGTGATTGTCACTACACACTCCCTAATCCCAACCCGCTTTTGACCCAATATTTTGGGTGGGAGAATTTGAACTAATTTTTTCTTCGTATTGTAAGAGGTAAGATAATCGAACCTTAAAGTTTTTTAGTCTCTCCTATGTTATCATTATTCTAAGTTGTTTTCTATAAAATAGAGTAATTTTAATGGATGTTATATATCATATAAAAAATGCAATTGAATAACTTGTTTTTAGAAGTATTGGAAAGTTTTACTATATATACCTGAATAATAGAATCAATTCCAATGTCAACAAATGTTAGCATTTGACCCTCAAGCAAATTAGAGTAAGTTGCTTATTCATTTGTGTTTTATACGCAATTATTGAAAAGGAACTGCCTCTTGTTTGTTCTAGTTCTGGAGGGAATCCCGAGTGATCCAAAATAATTCAGTTTATAATCTTCTAAAAAGGAAACTAACATTACTACGTATTTTAATACAATTTTAAGGAAAAAGAACTATAGGATGGAGATAACTCAAAGTAAGAAATAGGCATCATATTTTAAGCATCTTTTATTGCAACCCCCTCGACACCTTTCAATATCATTTTATTTGAAATCTGGTGTAGTGTGGTGCAGACCACTTATCCCCTATTTCCATAGCTTGATGCATGTAGTGGGAAGTGTCTCTCCAACTGCACAATGCAATGTAGAACTTATGAAGACAACATGAGTGCCTTGCTTATGGACTAATGATGTTTTCTTTTGGACTGAAATTCATACTTAAAATTCATGGCTCCCCCCAGATGCAAAACCATACATCTGTACTCGAATGATTTTAATCCTCTAATCCTTCATTAACCCAAAAATAACCAATGGAGCGACTGTATTTTATAACAACCATTTGTCATGATATTTCTCGTCTCATTTTTAAGAACTAAACAAACTGCATGAACTTCCTTTTAAAGTTGATTTATGCAGACTTATATATTGAGCTTTATTTCATTTTGTTACCACAAAATATCCGGGGGAAATCCCAGCATTTCCTAACCTGCATCCCTGTTACGGGGTACAAAATGAAGGCATAGGACGTGCAATATTGGGCACTGGAATACTATATGTACCAAATTTGTTTGATTTCAGTTTACAATCTAAGATAAACATTGGATTTGTACTTATTATAAACTTATAATGCCCTTATTTCCTAGAAAGATATGTAAGCATTTAAGTAAACATAAATTAAATTCTGTTTTAAAGATCATCCAAGTTAATATTTCACCAAATAACAATATCTTGAAAATTAATACTTTAATAACTAAGTTGGCAGGTCCAGAAGCTATTCAGAGGGAAAATTAGAATAGATCGGGAAGAAGACAAAATGATGCCAATAGAACAAAAAGATACACTTTAATAGCCTTAGATACATTTAGTTTATTTAGCAAAAAGAAACAGAGAACCAACGTGAACCTGCTTACTTGAGAAACCAACTTAGAAAAGAATGGGTTATCACTGCATTCAGTATTCCAGTGGGAAGACCATGCTCCCCTTCTGCTATTTCAAAGAAAAGAAATAGAAGTAAGGTACTAATTAAGAGAGAGTAAAAAGGATCTAAAATTTTAGGTATAACCCTATCAATTTTACAATAACTTTAGCTTTGTTGATTTTTCAATAACTATGCAACATGATAAAGTAAAGGGAAAACTGTCAAATAGGTCCTCGAACTTTCATAAAAAAGTCAATTAAGTCCTTCTATAGGAGACTCTGTCTGGTTGTCGCGATTTGGGATGGTTCTAGGTGCAATTTTTTGATAAATTTTTTTGAGCATCTTATTCATCAAGTCTAGTTTACTCATACCAAATTTCAGCTAAAAATTTAATCGGGAGCGCATTCAAATTAATTCGAGAACGGAAAAATGAGCAGTTATCTTCAAGAATTAATTTGAATGTGTTCCCGATTGAATTTTTAGCTGAAATTTGGTATGAGTAAACTAGACTTGGTGAATAAGATGCTCAAAAAATTTCATCAAAAAATTCCACCGGGAACCGCCCCAAATCGCGACGGCCAGACAAAGTCTCCTATAGAAGGACTTAATTGACTTTTTTATGAAAGTTCGAGGACCTATTTGACAGTTTTCCCTAAAGTAAATTTGTGATTTTTCAGAAAGAATGAGAAAACATAAGCTCTTTAGCCTCTAATTCTGAAACTGCCTTTACAAAACATTGCTTTGGACGAAGCAATTGGAAAGTAAATGAAAAATCAGAAAGAATCGCAACATAAACGCTTTAGCCATTCTTAGAAAGCAACTAATCACAGAGTGAACTGCCTCTCTTTTCAAAGCTATGAAAGCAACTAATCATAGAGTGAATGGCTTTATCACTGAACAGAAAATCCATAGTTTCAATCAAGAGGCATAAGTATTCTTAGTTCTTAGTCATAACTAAATTGTTTTCTTACTATTCTGAAACTAAACCATGTTCCAGTATTAATAATAAACATAATAAAGATCCTCAGGTTTGACAAATTAAAAAATAATAGTAAGCAGCTCAATATAAAAAAAAAATTCAAAGGCTACAAAACCATACATATTGATTCCAGCCCTCCAAAATCAATAGAAAACCATACATGTTGATTCCAGTCCTCCAAAATCGAGCTTTTCTGAATGATATAAAGTATAATAACTAAAAATTTCTATTAGCCATTCCAACAACTTCTTACTTGGAAAAGCTATGGTTGTCAATTTATATGCAATATAAGGTCAATAAGTTTTTACTTGTGAATTATCGATTAATATCAAACACTACACTTTGAAGTGAGACATTAAAGAGTGGTTTTATTCTGACTGTGATTCTAGCTGTTATTGTGATCCAATAAGATGGAGAAGCCAATATTTATATAGAGTATAAAGGAATTCACAATTCAGAAACATGAAGCAATTTAGTGACATACGTAAAAAAATCATATGGCCGATCTATGAGTACACTCGTAACACCAACAGCAAGTTTGTTTCTTTAATACTATTTAAAAACAGAATAATCTAGGTTGCTTTATTTAATGCGACTAAAAAAATCAGGTTTATTTGTCATGTCATGTTATAATTGCAAAATTGAGAAGTTGTATTCTTATTTAACCACATCAAAGATCAATATTATGTTCTCATGCCATGTTCTATTAAATGGAAAAAACATTTAGTAAACATGTAAAAAGTTATGAAACTGGAGTTGATTTATATACGCACCATTATAAACAATTAAAAAGAAAAAGCATATTTGAGCAGAGTTCTATAGTATGTCATAATATGGACCTTATACATACAACAGTTTGGCACTTGAAATGGATTTCAAACCCGAAAGAAATGCAGGTAAACGTTAGTTAGGATTGTGTTACCGACCCCCTTAACAGATTGATATTAGAATAAGTAAATGCTAACCAAAAGTGAATAACTTTTAGAATGAATGATTAATGACCAAAGGTAATTAACTGTGGGAAATTCCTCAAGATTGCATTCATTGCATCGAATATGTGTTCATGGTGCTGGTGCAAACATTTGCAAATTGCACACGGCCTGCAAATCAAAGAATCAAAGAAAAATCATAAAAAAGAACTGAAATGTGTTGAAAAGCAAAAAATCAGATACATTGGTTGTTGTGTTTGGTATCCTAGGACTTAACGAAAAAATAGAGCAGATTTCATCTTCTTCCATATACAAAGAAATCTTCTAAAGAATGAAAACCTGGGAGCATATGGGAAAACGAAAACAAAACGGGAGCCATACATCTAGGTGAGTATTCAAGCAGCTGAAATGAAAACCTCCCTAATATTGTCCCTAATATTGTAAAAGGATTTATCATTCGAACATATACTAAGAAATCTTGTAAACTGCTACTACGTATATGATTATAACTACCTAGTCGAAATAATTCTGGCCATAGCTTGACACCTGAAGCGTTGGGCCAAACCCGAAGAAACCTTATCGTCTTCTTCGTCATGAAGTCCGCAAGCAACAGAGCCAGAGCCCCGTCGGCCGTCTCCTTGAAACTGCCTCCACTCCCTTGATTTTGCCAGTTTCCCCTCCGCTTCGTTAATTTCGGCCTCATCTTTCTACCGGCCGCCGTCTCTGAAAGGAAAAGCCCCAGTTCCGCCGGCCCCGTTCCCGTCCCTAAGGCACCTAGTCGCGAGCAGTTTCAATCGGCCAGTGTGGTCGTTGCCACCGTCTATGGCCCCATTGATGTCGCTGCAGTGGATGCGACACTACTTGTCTACTTCGCCTTCTCTTTGCCAACTCCGCACCAGATAATTTGCAAAGGCCTATGAGGAGTATACTTTTAATTTTTATTTTTGAAAACTAAGCAGGCAAGCACCCAACAGTCCGAACGGGTTACTGGAATGAACGACACTCGAACAGTGACAGGCGACCCTTCTAACTTCCAGCGAAATACTCCGTACCACTTTGACCCGATTGCGACACTTTTGAGCGGCAAAATGATTTCCACTTCTTATATAGAGGTAGATTTCATAAGGGGTACACACTTTTTTGTGTATGCACTTTTACACATATACAGATAAAAAAAAATCTGCACAAATATGTGTAAAAGTGTGTACCCAAGTTCCAACTCCCCCTAAATTTAAGTTATAAACCAATCACAAACAAAATAATGCATATCATAGAAATAAAATTATTTTGGTGAAAACTAAGAAAGATTGGCTCATATTATTTTTTTTTTTCAGAAAAAGGGCTCAAAAGAAAAACCTATGTCGTGCCAAATCGTCTCTGGCTATCTCTTCTCAGACCAGCATTAATGACGAAGCGACAACCAGTCCTCTTCAACCGCTAGTCTGCACCGGCCACCGCTCGCAGCTCGCTGTCCTGCCATCTGCCGCACCTGCACGCCGGGAAAATAACTGATTTCTGTCTTTCCGACTCACTACTCAGGGAGGTAATCTTAAATTAGAAATTCAATTCCATCGTTTGTTCAAAATAGAAAAACTAGTTTATGATATAATTAATGATTTGTTATGATATGTGTTTTACAAAAATCAGATTCAATTACTAGTTTACCATTTATGTTCAATCAGTACATTGCAGTTTTCTCAAATTTCAATTAGTGTAATTTAGGAATTTGAAATTTTTTCTTCCGTCTAAATACACAAAGTTTATTTTCCTGTTTTTGATACCTCAAATTCATAGCAAACCCATAGACAAAGTTTAGTTTCCTGTTTTTGATACCTCAAATTCGTAGCAAACCAAATGCATCTGCCTAGTTGTTTTACCTCAATCACAGTGACTACTGACTAACACCTGCTAGGCATTTTCATAACATTGCATATTTAGAAAGTTTGCTATCATAGATCAATTTTTGTGGCATGTAGTTTTCTACAATTTGATTGTGATTTGTGCTGAACGTTCATGGGCAATTTATTATATGATTGTGGTTTGTGTTAAATGTATGGGCAATGTATAATATGATTGTGATTTGTGTCTATGAATATTAATCCCATTGTTTAGTATTAATCATTTAATCCAATTAGCATTAATATCTTTGTCAGTATTAATCTCATTATTTAGACGTTTAGGATTAAGCCTTTAATATTAATTAATTAATTAATTAGTATTAGTATGATTGTGATATGTGTTTATTTATGGCATTTTTTAGTATTGATACAATTAGTTTTGTTAGTATTATTCCTTTTGTTCCTAATATACTTATGAGGATCTTTTTGCTATTTCCTAACTTATCGTATGATGTGGTGGATTTTTGTGGTGTATAAAAAACTAATGAAGCTAGAGTTGAAGAGATACTATAGATATGTTGAAGTAGAAGCTAATGAAGATATTTTACTAAGAATTGTAATAGCCTCTAGTAGATCCAGACATCTAGTTGAAGAAACTTCAAATAGTTTATGTAAACCGATAGAGAAAAAGGCATCTTCTTGACATAGATATCTTCTTGATATTTGACAGTGATGTCATTATCTCATTATCTGGTGATATTGATCTATGAAAACCCATAAAGAACAATTATGAATTTATGATATTTATTTTTTGTGTTTTACTTTTTAGGCAACTAATGTTATGCTATTTATATGAAAACTTTGGCCCCACCTGGATTACGCTGGTACCTCTCTTTCATGCTGCAGAGTGTCTGTTGGTAAGTCGGTGACCTTTCAATTCTTCACGTTAATTTGCAGCTCTAGGCTTAGACCTGACATTGCGAATAATATTTTTGAATTCTAACCGTATGTAGGTTGTAACTACCACATAGAGTACTTTTCAATTCCTTACTCACAATTTCTGGAACAGAGCAACATAGCTTGTAAAACACCGCATACTGGTATGCTCTTCATCTTTAGATGTGTCTCCATTCAAACTTATGCAGACAACCGGTTCGATTAAATGTGTTTGATAAAATTAAGGGTACTTCAATTTTTTTCATATACCAGATCTTCTTATGGGTCTAGTATATTTCCTTGATTCTTGTTTTTTTGAAATATTGTTCTGTAAATGAACCACTGGATGAGAGTTGGAGTATGTGTATGACCAGAAACTCAATAATGGTTTCCCTCTGGAATTTGTTTTTTAGGTGTGCATGTTCCATTGTGCGAACAGAAGAAATGTGGGTTTATGATGGATGTCTACAAATCCTAAAGATCCAGAAATTGCGAAGAGTAGTGTCCTATGCCGGATTCTATTGCTTCACTGCACTCCTTACTTATATGTACACCAATAATACGTAAGTCTTAATATGCCCGCCACCTTTATAGATTTGTGTAACCGAAAGCCAATTTCTGTTTTTAAGGTGAACACCTCTCCTTCGGATTTTGCTTACTGGCTTGAACATGTCAGGTGTTCATGGTTGCAGTCTTGCAGAAATGTATGGGTTTCAAATCAGTGACTAGCACCTGGATATTCTAGGCACCTTCTTCTTATATTGACTAACTTTAGAAATTTATAATAATATTATTGGAAATTATGTCCAGTATCTGTATTATTATTAAAATACCAAAAATGTGAAGTCTATACCATTAAAATGTGATAAAATTGAAACTAATAAAAATACTTAAAGAAATGATACACGAAAAACCTTTAAAATTGAAGAGGTGATCTTCACTTATTTTATGCTGAGCATTTGAGTCCTTATATACATATTACACTGGGTAGTGCGCAGGGACGGATCCAGGATTTCGAGTCAGTCAAGGGGGCAAAAAAAAAAAATTGTTAGTGTACGGGTGAATTTTTTCCGCAAGTGTAGCGGGGCAAAAAAAAATCGCTAGTGAAACAGGGTAATTTTTTCGCTAGTGTAGGGCTAATTTTATCCAAAAAATTCCATTAATACATACACCATGATATTTAAGCATTCTAAGTTTAGACAATGATTCTTTTTAACTGCAAGTGCTCCATAAAAAATATTCCTACATTAAAGCATGACAAATCAAAGGAAATTTATTTGAAAATAAAAAAGCATATAGAACATTTCATTAAATTATTTGAAGGGAAAGAGTTTAAAAGGTGCACATCAACCAATGTTTTTTAAATAACTTATGCTTTGTTTAACCACATGAATCTTATCAGAATAAAAATTTAATTTTTGACTTGCAATTTTGTCTATCAATGAGGGGCCACGAGAAGTTTTCTTAATATTACAATAGTATGTATGAGATTATTATATTCAGAATACTACTGTTATTGCATAGTATTGTTAATTAATTCATATACTAGCTTTCTATAAGCGCAATGCGCTAAAACTAATGCCCATTATAAAAAAGGCCAATTCTCGTTCTTGCAAAATATAAACTATAAATATTCCACTGTCCCATAGATATAAGTTTGGATATAAGAAATTCATAATAAACTTTATGAATAATGGTATTGGTAAAATACCTATCTACATCCCGTAGTATAATTTATAAATAATAATAGTATGGTTCTTATTAATAGTATTCATATTGTGTATGCTCAAATTTAAGTAAAAGTGTTTTCGTTTAGATCAGAATTTATAGATTTGGTTTAATCTAGTTTGGACTGGTTTATTAGGTCTAGTTTGATCTGGTAGAGAGGTCTAATGTGATTTTACCACTTCCTCTGTCTAAACAAATTGACCAATTTTGACTTGCACGTAAAATAAAAATAAAAGTTGTGTGGTTAAGATTTGCGCACATGAGAGGGAAATAGTTGAAACCACATATTTATTACTTTAATTAGAATTCGTAAAGTATTTTAAGACGACTAAATAAGAAAATTTGGCAAAATTTTTGTGGGAGGAAGTATTGTTTAAGTCTGATTTGGCATCTGATTTGGTCTAATTTGATTTGTTTAAGTCTGATCTCATCTAATATGAGACTGAACCAATGAAACAAAAAACATCTAAAATTATTTGCAAAAATTTACACGAGTTAATTAGAAATCCTAATTAACTCATGTATATTTTAAATAAATAGACCAAGTAAATTTGAGTAAACTTAAGTGAATTGAAGTGCATATATAATTAAAATCAGTTATGGAATTAATCCAAATGAATGTAGTAAACATTAATAAACTTGGATCATTTGGATAAAATTTTAGAAAAATATAACATTATAAATTAATAACACTTAAAAAACACTCGGGGAAGTTAAACAATAATCAAATAAGGCAAGTTTTAAATTAACACCAACAGAATACTGATTCACCCTAAACAAAATGGTTGAACTTAACGGGAAAATGGTGAGAAATAAGTACAACATCAACGATATTTGATAATACTGAAATTGACTCAATCAGATTAAAATGATGAATGTTGATCGGAATAGTTGAATAGACCGAATATTTCGAATTATAAAAAAATTAATACGTAGTACTCCATATACTTTAGGGAGAATTTGACTTTGCACTCCATTTTTTATCGATATGTAACTTTGCACTCTAATTTCAAAACCGTTAATATATGCACCCCAATTCACTATAAAATCATTTCACTTTGCACCTCACTCTTTCATAATTTTTGGATTGATGGGGTGCACACATTAATGATTTTAAGAGCATCTCCAATGCTAAAATGTGCATGGTGCACATGTGGCATGAGTGATAGCCACATAAATATTAACAAATATATTATCTCTCTCCTTATTTGAATGATTTTATACAATTTTGGTAAGTTTTTCCCTGCAATGTCAACATTTAGACGGTCTCCTTGACATTGTGGAGAAAAACTTATTAAATCTGTATAAAATCATTAAAATAAGGAGAGAAAGAATTTATTTACTAATATTTATGTGGCTATCTCTCATGCCACGTGTGCACCGTGCACATTATACCATTGGAGATGCTCTTAAATAGTTAAAAATGAAGTACAAAATTCAATGTCACCCTAAACATGGCGCGCAAAGTCAAATTATCCCTATATTATTAATAATATTTTATTAATAATAGTAATATAGTTAAAATGGTTCCCTGTATTAACTTCACCCAATTCCGTTACAATAGTAGTTTCAACCTTACTTATTTTGATGACTTTGTATTATACAATTGAGTGCACGGTATCAAATTTCAAACAGGCTTAAAATAAAATACGTAGTATTTGTTATTTCTCTTTATCTCTAATTAAGAATAATGTTGTATGTACGGTATATAAACTATAAAGATCCAAATGACTCAAATGGATATTGTAATAATTATAATAACCTAACATAACGTATAGCTAACATAGGTTGATGACTCACCCCATTAATCTAACGGTGATATAAGTAACGGAGAAGAGTAGTTAAGGGGTTATTAGGAAAGCTAAAAATGATGTACACTACTTTAATATAATAGTACAAGTGTTTAATGCTATAAGAGATTGACATGATCCAAGGGCATTAACCATTATTCACTATTATAAGGTTTTTAGATATGGTGCATATTATATTTGTATTAATGCTAAATGAAGTTAAAGTTTATTATCTATGCAACAAATTGTTTTTAGAAAGTAAAAAGTAAATGAATTGTGTAATTTAATGTCAACAAACGTTTATATTTTGAATTCACTTCACATGGTCTACAAATTATTTAACTCATGCGTAAGGTATTTAATATCATTTGATATTACAAAAGCGAGTACTAATTATCTCATAAGGATAATTAAACATTACAAAACTAGGTTTTTTTTATACAATAGACATCATAAGTTTTAAACAATGAGTTGTTCTATTGTTTATTTGCATAAGTTATGTAAATTATTGTAGATGTTACTTCTTTTAAATCTCCAATTAATTATTACATTATGTAAGGCTATATATTAATTTGAAAGCTACAAGTTAAGGAGGCGAAAAATTCATAGTATGAAAATTTTCTAAAGTATTACATATATATAGGGAAAATTTGAAAGTGCAAGGGGGGCGGTCCCCCCCGCACGCGCGCGCCCCCTAAATCCGTCCCTGGTAGTGCGTACAACTAGTAAACAAAGATGGAACTAATGCATGGGTCATGCATGGCATGTTGCCCACGTAATTATGTTGTAGTAGCATGAAACATTTCATATCAAATAATGAAAATGTATAATATTTTAATTCCTGATTTAATATCTTAATAAAATGTTAGGTGTTGTATGCAACAGACCAATAGTCTAGTTAATCATATCTTATTACCATAGTGTTCCTATGCCAAGAAATTCAATTCCAAATTTTCATTGCATACTCAATAGTGGAATGTATATGCATTTTCATTTATGCCATCTTGTTGATGCATTGCAGTACTCGAGCTGGGTACTCAAGAGGCGACCAATATTATGCTTCTTACCCAGCTGGCACTGAGCTCCTCACTGACCAAGCCAAGGTGGGTTGAAGCTGTTTTGATATTTTCTGTGTGATAAAAGGAATATTTGAGTTAATAGAACCTATTAGCTATGTTATTGTAATTTGTTTTTTTGCTGGATACTTAATCAAATTAAAACGGATTATTTTAAGTTTCATAAATATGGTGATATAACACGTTCAAGATAAAATTGACTAAAATTAGGTTGTGCCAGGGGTGTATGGATGCACTGTTGTAGTTTTTTATCTGAACATGTCTGGAATCCATGTTATGCTTCAGTTATACAAAGTTGCACTTGGCAATTGTTTTGAATTGGAAGAGTGGGGACCGGTTGAATGGTCTATCATGGCCAAACATTTTGAGCGCCAAGGGAAGTCGCCGTACGCATATCATGCGGTTAGTTGATGATATTTTTCTTATATAGCAGTTTCTTTTAATGCAATATCACTCACTATTACTCATTTTCTTCGATCTAATTAGTTATGAAGGAATATTGTTCTCCCCATACTCTCCTTTCCTTGTATGAAAAATGTGTACATTCAGGCTTCGTTTGATTTAAAGAATTTTTTATCTTGAAAATTATTTCAATCCATTCATTCTTTCGGGTGGAAAACATTTCTCTAAAGAACAGTATATTTCTTGAATATTTTGCATTCGTGTGTAAAATTACTTCCTTTTCCCAAAGGAGGAAGTCGTTTGTTAATCAGTCTTATTCACTCCGTTTTTGTGAGTTAAACATTTGTCTATCATGTGTAGAAAACATAGATGTACTTAGTTTCCACAAAATCAAGCGGAGCTTCAATCCCAAAAAATCAGTAGTATTAAAATATTCATAGCTATCTGGTATCAGCTGAAAAGTTCGCACTGCATGCAACTAGTAACAACAGTCTATTTAAGTGTTTATATGTGTATTTGGTGACTATAATATGCATGAGATTTTGCACTTTTCTTACTTCTCCAACAGCAATACATGGCACACCTTGTCTCCAATGGGCTACTCGATGGAAGCGGGTAGAGTTAAAGAGAGAATTGTCTCAACAATCCCTTTGAAATTGTTTTTACAAAAGGCTTGAAGCTGCTGAAATTGGTTGGTGTGGACGGGAAAAGTGTAAATTGCCTCACAATTTCTACTAACTTTCTTCTCATAAATCTTTTGAGTTTTGTTTGGTATATTTTATGTTTGGTAAGGGATTCTTATTCAGAAGGAACGATGCACAAAAACTTCTAGGGCACGTTGATTTTTGGAAGGGTTTCAGAGAGTTAGGCCTGTATCTTCATATGTATTTGAGATTTTATTTCTAAAAACTGAAGGAATAACATAGAAGCTGATCATGTCACATTTCAGTCGCCAAATTCATAATCCATCAAACTGACAGTTGAGAAAGAAACATTTTTTGTTTTGCGAGTATTTTAATGAACTTCATAGACATCTTAACAAAGATATGACCACCTGTAAAGGAGTAATAGGAGTCACCAACTGTCAAGCTGGTTTAATGAAGCTATTGTGGCCATATAGGACTTGATACTTTTAAGTTTGCTGGAGATTCTAACCATCTTTGCAGTACTAAAACCATAGTGCTTACCTAAAAAATAAATCAATAGAAAATAAAGTTGAATAATAAAAATGCAAATAGGGAAATAAAACGAATTGAAGTCACAATGGGGCTGTAGCCGGTAGGCCTCATTGCCATTAGACTTTCCTCATGCATCTTCCCCAACCTCACCCCCACATCCAAGCCTTGGTCATGATCCCAAAAGTCATTTGTTATATCCTTATTTGCATTAATTCTTTATTGTCTATACTGGACTCAAAGTTCAAGATTTTACATTTGATGCTACCTAAGATTACATTTTGAGTTAAGCGAGTTATATTTGCATGCGTACAATTTAGATTTCATAGTGGAAGTGGAGAGAATAACCATTTCGGGGTTTGCATGTAGGCATGGACTTGGTTCGGGCCAACCGAACCGGAACCAGCCCGGCACGGGAAACCGGTTCCAGTTCCGGGCTTAGGCCCGGCCCCGAGAGGGTAACCGGTTCTAGGTCATGAAAAAGGCGAACCGGCCGGTCCGGGCCCGGTTCAGGCCTTTTTTTTGTTTTTTTGGGTTTGGGTTGGGTTTAGGTGGGCTGGGCTAGGTGTTTCCGATGGGTTTGGGGATGGGGGTGGGGGTTGAAACTTGAAATAAATAAGAAAACACACACAAAAAATGAACCAGAACCGGTAGACTCCCGGGCCGGTTCCGGGTAGTGCTGGACTCGGGCCGGGCGGCCCGGCCCGGAACCGGCCCGGCCCGGAACCGGCCCGGCCCGGTTACTGTTAGGCCCGGCCCGGCCCGGGGCCCGGTGGGTCCACCGGTTCGGTTCGGCCCGGCCCGGCTGCTGGGCGGTTCGGGCCCGGGCCCAGGTTTTGGTGAACCGGCCCGGCCGGTTCGGGCCCGGTCCGGGCCGGATTTTAATTTTTTTTTTTTTTTTTTTTGAAATTTTTTTAAGTTTTAGGTTGGATTAGGTATTTTGGGCCATTTGAGGTGGTTTGGGATGGTTTGGGGTTGAGGGGGAGGGGTAGGGGATTAAATAGGAGACCAAAAAAAAAAAAAAATTAAGTGGGCCGGTTCGGCCCGGCCCGGCCCGGCCCGGTTTGGCCCGGAACCGGAACCGGAACCGCCCACCGGCGGTTCGGGCCCGGGCCCTAGTTTTCTGGCCCGAGGCCCGGCCGGGCCCAGGCCCGAACCGGGCCCGAACCGGCCCGAGTCCAGCCATAGTTCCGGGCCTAACCCAAAACCATCCAAGCCCGGCCGGGCCTAGTCCACCCCTATTTGCATGTGTTTATTAAATAAAATAAAAGTTCATTAACATTGTTTTAGGCGCTCATGGTATAGCAAAATCTGCAATTTGTAAATTGACAAACAAACCAGACCATAATATAGGCTGGTTGAATAGTCAAACAAGCTAATTTAACTCAAAACAACCAAAAGTTGGTTAATCAGTCGTTTGGCCTAGCCAAAATTTGAGATATTATTAACAAATAATATCCCCTCCCTTATGAATAAAAAAGAAAAAGCAATCAACTCCATTTAATTTGACCCATTCTATATTGTGAGTCGTGTCTACCGATTTTGCTGGAGACATGTGCTAGCTGGGCTATGGTGTACGTTCCATATCTTCATGTGACTCACAATAAACCAATGTTCTAATGTACTTGTATGAAATAGTAGTGGCACATGAAAGTTAATAAAAAGTTATGAATTTTGATATATATTTTTAGATTATCAGAGTACAAAAAAAGTACTCCATATAAGATCAACAAAACAAATTTGTTTAAAGTGCTAAATTGTTTTTTTATTTTAACCTATGAAATATTAGAGTCATACGAAAGATAATAAAAAGTTATGAATTTTGATATATTTTTAAAAATAATCGTAATACAAATAAAAAAGTGTAACACTTTAAAAAGCAGAATATTTTTAAAGTGTTAATTTTTTTTATTCAATATTGGTGTCTTATGAAAGAGAATAAAAAATTATGAATTTTGATATATTTTTTATTATAATCCGAGTATTAATAAAAAAGTTTGATCACTTTTAAAAAAATGGGGTTTTTCTTTATTTGGGTCCCACGATTGCCACTCCAATGTTATCCTGCATCCTATACATGGCGATTTTGGTAACCGGAGTTAGACCACCCAACACTAGTTTGAGATATAATTATTACCCAACATTAATTAGGTAAAATATCATGAAGGAGTATAAAAGAATTTGTTTGGATGATAAAAAAAAACTTTGCTGACAAATAAAGATCGAAAATGCTATGTGTACATCTAATGTACACAAGATGTACACCATATAAATGGGCAAAACAAAATATTTTCAGATTTTTTACCCCCTTCCCCACCTCTCTCCCACACGTGCGAGCCTCTTCCCCTTTCTCCCGCCTCTCCACTCCACTCTCCACTTCCTTCCTCTTCGATTTTATTTTCCGATTTCTGCGCATACCCCCCACGCCGTTCATCCTCTTCGTCTAGCACCGCTGCCTCTGAAGCCGTCCACCTCTTGTCACCGGCGCCTCACCGTCTTCGTCTCCAAGCGCCAACCTCGAAGCCGTTTCCACCGGAAGAAGCTGGAGCGATGGTTCGTACTTCACTGTCATCTCTTGCTAAGTCTTCAAAAAAACGGTAATATCCACTTCTTGAACATATTTGTGAGTAGTATTGTTGAATTTCACCCCCCATTGTGTGGTATGTGTTTGTTGTATTTTTTTTTTAAAATCAATATGAGATTTCGAAGGTGAAAGTTGAAAATTAGAGTTTGATGAAGTGAGAAGCACTGTAAATGGTGGTGTGGGAGCCTTAAGGGGCCGGATTGATTGTAGGAATTTGATTTTGTTTGGGAGATGGAAGTATAATGTCTGTGGGCAGACGGTTAACCTTGTTCAATTGATTTTCATGGAAGTCGTTTTATATATTTACGTGTGACTTGAATTGTCTGTAGTTTGTGATGTGTTGTCTGTCTTCCTTGATAATTATTAATTTTTTGAAATTAATAATTGGTATTTTTGAAATTCACACTTAATTAACATTATTGATAAAATTAGAATGACAGTGCACTATATAGGAGGGGTTTGGGGTTGTTAAGTGACCATGTTGTAGGATTTGGAACATCTTTGGGACGTTGCATTGTGTGGTATGTCCAATTAAAGTAGTAGTAACTGATTTAGTATGTACATGAACGAGTTCTTTTGTGTAATTCGTAGGAAGAAGCATGAACTGATGGTTCCGGTTGAGTCCCACTTCCCGGCGCAATATTCTTTGTGCTCATCTTTTGGGAAATATAAAAACTTGTTGGCTGCTATACCAGCGAGTGAGCAGCAAAATTTTAAGAACCTTCCGTGGGGACATTTGGCTGAAACTCCAGAACTCCAATTTTCTGGGCAGATTGTCCATATGTTGTTGTTGCGGATGGTTCGGAGACAACCTGTGGATGAGCTTTGGTTTTCTATACGAGGAAAAATCTTTAAGTTCACTTTTCAAGATTTTTGTGCTATTACTCATCTTCCGGCATACACAACCAGACCCCGTTTTGTGAAAAACAGTGACAAAGGTAGTGTGGCTAAGTTATTCTTTAAAGGACAGAAGCGTGTCACATACGAAGAACTGAAGGAAACAATGGTGGCATTAAATCCGAAGAGGAGGGTTGACTCCTTAGCAGTTGTGAAGTTGGCTTCTCTTTTTGTGGTAGATTTTATGTTGCTGGCTAGAAACCACGACACAAAGATCAATGCCAATCATCTTGACTGGGTGGAAGACTTTGAGAACTTCAAAAAATATCCTTGGGACCTTGAATTTTATAACCTAATGGTGTCCAATATGAAGTCGTTGATGCGTGATCAACCGGAGAAGTATGAGGCTGCTGTAGCTAATAAACCGAAGTACAAGAACTGTAAGTTCACTGTTTGGGCCTTACCCCATGTCTTGCAGGTTCGTTTGTACATTGTTTGATAATTGCGTAAATCATCTGTGTCACAATCTGTTTAATCTGTGGGCAGACATCTCATTAACAATTTTTTTGGTTGTGTATTCAGGTTTGGGCGTATGAGAAAATCCCTGGGCTTGCTCCAAGATGTGGCACCAAATTCAAATCTGAAGAAGCTAGTCTTTTCAACTGGAAAGCTACAGGATTTTTTCACTGTACTACTTTGAAGGAACTGGTTTTTAAGGAAGAGCCTTTAGAAGAAACCGTAAGAAGTTGTTAATTATATTTTTTAGTAATACACATGCACTAATATCACAATTTGTAATCTAATTACTTGACTTGGTCCGTAGGATGATGATGAGGATGGTGATGAAGAAGAAGAAGATGTTGGGGAAGAAGTTGATGGCGAAGAAGATGGACTAGAAGATGAGGATGTCAAACTTCTTCGCAAATTGAAGGTGTTGGAACAACTTGCAAAAACACAGTCTGAAATTGAGCAGTTGAGGACAAGTGTTAGAGGCATTGAGGCCAAACTGGTTGAGGTCAAAGACATGCTATCTAAGGTGGTGGGGGTGGTTCTGCATGGGAATGTTCCCACACAAGAGCAGGTAAGATTACAAGTTTATGTGCATGCAATTGATTTTGTCTGTGAAGTGTATGTTATTGTCTGTGAACATTAATGTAGTTGTCTGTGTGCATTGATTGTATTGTCTGTGTAGTACATCTATTTTAATGTGCTTACGAAACAGGAAGTGGCCAGCGCTGAGAAAGATAATGGCAAGCGTGATGATGTTGAAGCTAACCACTGTACTGACCATGACGTGGCAGATGTGCGCATGGAAAATATGGTATCATTGCCTTATGTGTGTAGGCACATATGTAAATGTCTGTGTACTTTGTTCTTAATGTCTGTCAAAGTATTAACAGTTAAACATGTTTG